TTTCTATCTCCAGAGTACCCCAGGGTTGAGCAGGGCTGCTGTGGAGCCTAGATTGCAGCTCAGTTTCTCCCTCTGCTCAGTCAGCTTCCTAGCCCTCCTTTCCATAAATGTTGATCTAAGGGTCTTTTTAAAACATTTTGCATGTTAAACTGCATGCCAGAGACAGTTTCCCAAGGAGCCCAACTGCTAACATTATAGAAAACACATCAAACATGTATGTAAAGCAAAAGTATCCAGATTGTTGAATTACATTATATTTTCAGAGATAATAGAGGACTGAGGGAAAATGATAAAAAATGGGCAGATTTAGATAATATGGAGTAGAGAATTAAGGTTGAAAGTAATACAAACACAGTGGGTAAAGGGAATGTGTGTAAGTACTCTGAATGCCATGCCTTTCCATTTTTTAAAAAAATGAATATTACTGGAAGTAAAAAAGCTATTCCTCTTTCTTGCTTTCATCTATAAGAAAATAGAATTCACCTACACTTTACAGTTCATGAATAAAATAAGGAATAGTAATAAAATTGAAAACGGGCAAAAAGAATGGAAAATTGGAACAGGGAAAAATTCTATGATCATTTTACGGTTAGTTAATCTGTGGCTCTTTTTCTATTTTCACTTCCAACACTGCTCTGTAGACAGATTTTGTTTTTTATTTCACCAAATTAAAATCTGATATTGCATACAATTTTTTTTGTTGACTTTGCATCACAAACATTTGTCGCTGCTCCCAAAAGTACATTTTATTATTTATTTATTAATAACTGAAAGGTTAAACACTAAATTTATTCTTACATAGCCTAAGTAGCTAAATCGAAATTCTAAGTTTGTGGCTCACGCCTATTCTGTTAGTTTTCTAGGGCTGCCAGGAAAAGTACCACAAACTGTGTGGCTTAAATGACAGGAATTTATTGTCTCACAGTTCTGGAGGCTAGAAGTTTGAGATCACGGTGTCGGCAGGGTTGGTCCTTTCTGCGGGCTGTGAGGGAAAATCTGTTGCATGCCTCTCTCCTGGCTTCTGGTAGTTTTCTGGCACTCTTCTGTGTTCCTTAGCTTCTGCTCATCACCCTGAGCTGTTTCCTCTTCACATGGAGTTCTCTCTGTGTGTACCCACTCAGTGAGAAGTTTCTCCCTTTTATAAGGACAGAGTCATATTGGATTTGGGTCCACCCTAATGATCTGTCTCAACTTGATCATCTGCAAACATCCTATTTCCAAATAAGGTCACTTCCACACGTACTGGGAGTCAGGACTTCAATATCTTTTTAGAGGACACAATTCAACTACATACATATGAAAGCTTCTCTTCATATGTACAAGTAAGTTCTAGTAAGATATGCACATTGAAGGTGGCCTAATATTTCTGATAACATTGCCATAATACGTAGAATATTTAGCCTCAGCAAACGGAAAAGAAAAATACCTTAATTTGCTTAGCTGCATCTCTTATTTTATCATCAATCTGGCCTGGGCAGAATTTATCTTTTTTTTTTTCTCCCCAAAGCCCCAAAGCCCCCCGGTACATAGTTGTATGTTCTTAGTTGTGGGTCCTTCTAGTTGTGGCATGTGGGACACTGCCTCAGCGTGGTTTGATGAGCAGTGCCATGTCCGCGCCCAGGATTCGAACCAACGAAATACTGGGCACCCTGCAGCGGAGTGTGCGAACTTAACCACTCGGCCACAGGGCCAGCCCCCAGAATTTATCTTTTTAAATCAACATGTATTGTCTGATTGACTATTACATGCAAAATATTTTGCTATGCACTTTGGGTGATGTGAAGAGAGACAAGTTGAGGACTTTACTTTTGAAGAGTGTATAGCATTGTACTTATAAGAACATCAAGCACACAAAGACATTTTAAGTCCGCTCTCTGCAATTTAAGAAAACGTTATAGTATACATTTCTGTACAAATTCAGTTTTGTACACTTTTCTTCACTGCAGAATTTGGTTTGTACTCTGAGAGCTGGAAGTTGTGAAAAGTCCTTGAACTTTGTAATTCTATGAATTTATACCACTAATTACATTGAAAATGACTGTAATAGAACAAGACTTTATCAATTGCTAAAGTAAATTTAAAGCATTTTTATTGCTGGATGAAACAATGATCTATTGAACAAAAGTTTCACTTGGTGGTTAACTTCTTTGTTGCTCTGGAATCAGCAGTTCACACTTATTTGACATACATGAAAAATTATCCTTAGGTATTCCTTTCATGACTTTAGTTGAGAGCAAACAGCTTTAGGCACAGGATGTGAGAAAGTAGCCTTTCTTTAGCTAAAAATTTGCTCTGTGATCCCTTAGCAGACAGCATTCTATAAGTTATCATTCTTACATCAAAAACAGAACAATTAATGCTATATTCAATTTGCTTATCTCACTATTCTTTAAAAATCATAAAAATTTAGGCAAGTAAGAACCACTCTCTAAGAAGATGAGTGTAAGTGTCATGTTCCACATAACCCTACAGATTACATAGCTCTCCATTCACTTCAGAAGCAGTTCACAAGAATAAACTCAAAATGAGACAATTTATATTTTTGGAATAGTGTCTTTCTTTTTACAAATCATTTTTCAGCAAGATTTAAGACATATTTAATCATAGGAAGAGAAGATAAGCTTTAGTAATAAACTTATGCTTCCCCTATGATATCATCTGTTAAAAATAATGTTAAATTCAACTTCAAATCTTTTATTATTTGACTGTAGAGAAAAATATATGCATAAATGCCAAGGTAAATTGAAGATAGTTCATCAATAAGATCTACCTCACGTGAAGATAAAATCATAATCCTCAGAGTATATATCATTCTGGATACCTGAATTATCTGGATAGCTAAGTTATAACGTTTGAATACTATCAATTAAAAATTTTAATTATTTTTAACAGACACATTTCTTAAATCTACTATGTACTTCACCATCATGTTAAGTAGAAGATGTTTAATGAAACTTTCTTGACACTTTAGTCACTATTATGTAATATCTGTTACTTAATATAGCAAATATGATTTTAGATACAGATGTATAATGAAGAGATTTAGTCCTGAGGGGACCCTGACCAACACATGGGTCTGAAATTTTCTTTCTTGATGTCAGTTTGTTTTGTAATTATCTGTTACCTCATTATAGAAGCTGCCTTATGAAAAATTAATTGGTACCTCACGGACTGATGTTACCTTCTATGTGGTTTTCTAATTGTTCAGAAAAATCGTATTCTTCATTGTGTTAATCACCACCACTCAAAGTTTTGTCTCCAATTGAACATCTTTGGCTCAAAAGTACCCCAAAAATCTTACATTGTTTCTGCTATACTAAGTACCTTATTTTCAAAAGAGCCTAAAGAAAACATACTTCTCACCTTTTCAAGAATTAGGTAAAAAATTTGGAGAGGTAGCTTACAATAATTCAATAGATATATATACAAGAGAGAATTCTGTAGGTAAGATTCCAAGATTTCCTTAGTGCTTGACATTTATTAGAATTTTAGGTATAAGTAATATTAGAGATCATACTTAACCTACATAAATAAATATTATATTCATTAATTACGTGTAAGATTACAAATCAAAAAAGCTTTTGTTATCTTGGGTTTTATAGGTAAGACAGCTTCTAAACTATTTATTTATATTTAATTTCTAAATAAATAGTCTACGTTAAATATGTATAATTTCTCTATATAGATATGTTTTTATTTCTGAGGATTTAATACTAAATCCCAAGAAATGAAAACAGCTCGACACATTTTCTCCAAATTTAGAGATAATCTTTGGGACGATCTGATTTAAAATAAGGAAAAATAGGGCACATAAAATACATTTTCAGCAATCTTGGAGATAAAAACGTAGATAATTGTACAGAACTGCTAAAACTGAGGTACAATACCAGTTTTTAAATAGCTGCTGATTGGGAGAAAAATACTATATTAATTAATACGCCACAGAGCAAGAAACCAAATAATGTCTTTAAAATTGAGCATAGAATTAAGAGCCACAAGGGAAGGTCATTTAAATCATAAAACCTGTTTGCAATTTAGATACTTCCCACACGGGGAACTCGAGGCAACATGCCCTAGTGTGAGGGAGAGCAGGGATTTGTTGTGTCACCATGGTTAATGACAACCCTAGGCAACACAGGGGAGAACTGACCTTGTAAGAATAATAGCAGAAATCTGGAGAGGGCCTATATGATGGATCATCTTGCTCATGAAATCTCTTTTGTAATAACATTTAATATCCTGAATATTAACATATTAAGCAAAGGTTAAGTGGGTCAGTAACACTAAAGGACAAGAGATGATTAAAAAATATTCCTAAACAAAAAAACTGCCTTCTCAGAATGAACTCCATAATTATCAAATTAGAGATGAGATTCCTCAAGAAAACCTAATGTTAAGCGATAGTGATAGTTCAAGTGAAAAAGACGAAAACAAGCTAAAGTAAATAAGAGACTTATTGGATGAAATTATTGAAAGGATCAGTTGGTAGTGGGGGAAGGCTTTTCCAACTACTTCTGTTTTTCCAACTAGTTCTGGTCTAGAAAAATTTAAAACAATTTAAGATTGCAGACATAAGAATTGTCCTATTGAATAATTAATACATTATCTTAAGAGTTGTGACTAGCAACTCTCTCCCACATTCTGGATTTTCACTTTTCCTTCATGAACAGATTTTCAAATTATTTAATATATTATAGAGGAATAGACTCAAGAGGCAGACAATAAAAATCCTTCTATAAAGTTTTATCTTGGAGCCGGCCCCATGGTCGAATGGTTAAGTTCACATGCTCCGCTTCAATGGCCCAGGGTTCACCGGTTTGGATCCTGGGAACAGACCTACACACCACTCATCAAGCCATGCTGTGGTGGCATCCCACATAGAAGAACTAGAATGACCTGCAACTAGGATATACAACTATGTACAGGGGCTTTGAGGAGAATTAAAAGAAAAAAGAGGAGGATTGGCAACAGATGTTAACTCAGGGACAATCTTCCTCACCAGAAAGCAAACAACAAAAAAGTTTTTATCTTTAAAAATTCATGCAAGGATGTGGCAACATATGTAATGCACTTCAAATGCTCTTGGTCATCTGAATTTTCTGAGAGAAGAACTGTATTTTACAGGGTTCACATAACATATAAAAAAGGCAGCTGAGGAAAAAAAAATACTATAGGGATGATAGAAACCTGGGGGATTATGTAGCTAGAGTTTACCATATAAGCAATTAGAGTAAAATACAGGTTCCAGGGCTCATTCCTGGAGGACAGATCATAGCAGTTGAGAATTGTTAGATGTGTGGAAGTTGTGTTATTTTATCAATGCATCTGGTGATTGTGAAGCAGCATCTTCTATGTTTGAAAAGGACTAATCTAGCACACCAATTCCTTTATTTTATAGCCGTAGAACAAAGAACTAGATGATTAAGTAACTTAGGGTTACATAGCTAGGACATGAGCTCAAGATTTCCTGCAACCATCAGTTCCGCGCTGTTTTCTCAATTCAATTCAATTCATCCAATCCAAATTCATTGACCATTTACTCTGAGTTTTATTGTTCCAATCTTGAATGACTAATTTTAGGTACATTCGTGGAGATATTTTAGATGAAGTTTTCTTAAACCAGAACACACTGAAAGATTTCAGGGTTACTTGAATCCTTTGAAATTATGCTAAGTTTTATTTGCATATCATTTTTCACCAATGAAGTTTCCAAAGCTTTTATCAAAATTTGAAAGAAGTTTATGCTACCTCCCAAAATTAAGAACCGTTGATCCAAATCCTTATCTCTGACTGATGTGTTCTTCAAGATTATGTTAAACCTAGTGCATTAAACTCAAAAGTCTTAGGATTTAATATTTAAGCTTATCTACCTTCCCCAAATATGTAGGCCATTGGAGAGAATTATATGTGTTGCCATAATTTAAACACTTTTTCCTTGCTCTCTCTTTTGAGAGCACATAAAATTCACACGAAGTAAAACATACTGAATATTCCTTTTACAATTTTTATTCTCCACATTTATAATTTCAGAGAACTGAAGAGTAAGAAAATAAGTCAAGTGGATGATACATACACATAATAAAGTCATTTACTTCATTTCAGTATGCCTAGTTTTTGGAAAGTAATTGCATTCTCTAGTTAGAGAATGAGATTCTAAAGTGAAAAAGAAAGGCTTTCATCAAATATCTTTATTCAGAGTTATATTTTATATGGAAACACTAGTAACATATGTTTAGAAAGAATGCAATGAATATATATACTGCTTTTGCAATAGGAAAATTTTTGAGGAAAAAATACAGAAATGTTTGGCAAGAATAGATTTTTCTATCTCTCTAGGTTAGAAGAGCAATTCTGGTCCTTTGAGTAGCTGATAGAAGACATCATCAAAACGGAATTACTTCTTATGAGAGCACTGTCAGCTGACCTTTATATTAATAGATAATACCTTTGGAATATATCTGTGGGGAAAGCAAAGTTGTTTCTATTAAGTGGTGTCTCTATTGTACTTCTCAACCTAAGCCAAAATATTCTTTCATATTGCTCCTCTAATTATGTTACTTCAAATAAAAAAGATACAAAAATTTCACAAAATATCCTTTTTTTCTAACCAAACTAGGTGTCATTGATATCAAGTAGTTCATATTATGTCAGAACTTTGGTATTTGGATTATTCTAAGGACTCTGCTGGTAACCAAAGCTGGTTAAAAGTGTATATCAAAACATATATTATACCTGCAACTGTTTGGATGTTACATCATCATAATAGTGAATTTAATAAGATTAAGTAATTGATAGAATAGAAAAAAAATAGCAACCAAATAAGCTGTTAAAACTTTCAAAATATTATTTAATATAGTGATTTATCCATTGATGAATACTCTGGGAATAAAGCTCTTTTATAATAAAATTAGTTATAAAATGTACTCGTAACACATAAAAGGCTGTACCAGATTTCATCTTAGGAGAGATATCAAGTTTTTCACTAAGTCATGTATGTGAGACTACACTTGACAACAATATTTTATGTTCATTCCCATTATTACCAGGAACAGTTGAACAAAATGTGGCTTGCTTGACTTAAGGTAAACCTGTGAAGTCCAGAGAATTTGTTCTGGTGACGTCACCCTTGCTATTTGACATTCAGATGGTGATTCCTTCCCCATTTTCAATCATCCAACACTCTTCTGTTATCCTGCTTGCTCCTCCTTCACCCACACACGAGTGGAGCTGACAGCAGCCATTTGAACATGTTAACTCACTCATTTTGCCTTAGAGTTAGTATAGTAGCTCAGCCAAGCATTAAACTTCTCTCAATTTAATTGCGAAATAAAATAGTTTTTTCTGAAAGTTAATTAAAAGAGGGAGCCTCCAAATGACACTATACTTACTGAAATACAAAATAATTCTGAATGCAAATCTGATTTGTTTTCTGAGGTTCTCTGGTGGTAATAAGAGGAGAATGTATAAACAGAAAAGATGGAGTCAGTCTTTTTGTTTGTCTGTAAGAGTAATGTTGAGCATGGAGCTAATCTGGCTTTATCTTCTGAAGGTTTATTTTACAGAGGGAGTGGGATGTGAGCGGGCACACATGGGATATGAAAACATTTTTGAATGACTTATTTTTGTATGATATCGTGTAAAAACGATTAAATAATTAAATATATAACTTTAAAATGTTTAGTTTATAATGTGACAATAATAATCTTCAAAGAAGTAAACCTGGAAGTTTAAAAAATAAATAAACATATTTCCTTAAAGAGAATATATAGTTTTAGTAGAATGATGAGTAAATAGTTACATGTCAGGATATATCATGTCTAGAAGGTATTCTTTTTAGTTATAAACGTTCATCAAAGATACGGGATTTCAAGAATTTCTTGTGAGGTAGACATGAAAGAGCTTGCTAAACTATAGTAAAGGAAGAATTTCAGATATGGCAGAGTAACTTGTTTTAGACCAAGTCTCAGAAAAATTAGGAGAATTTATTTCTATTAAAAACTGTTTAAGAGAATGGAGAGCTACACAGACAACCAGGCCTAGTAAGGACCAGGAACCTGGTGAGAAGGATGAGGAGCAGCAACATTGAGGTGAGCCGTACATTCCCTTGGAGGGCTCTTAGTTCTTAAGCAAGGCCAAAAGGCAGAAAAGACAACCACAAAAATGAATGGAAATCTAAGATTTCTGAGATTTCTAAGATTTCTGCTGAGATTTTGCCCTTCTCAAGGCCTATAGAAACAAAGCTTATAGTTCAAGTCCAATACAGCAGGACTTGAAGGGAAAAAATCCTGAAGAAAAGAGAACACTGATGAAATTCTGGTATTGTGTCATCTTTTACCCTTAAGACATCCGCTAAATTTTATTTGATGTAGGGCCAAGAGGCTAAGAAGTAGAGTCAAAGGTAGCAGCTAAAGGTCTTGGCAGATGCACAGAGTGTTTGCAGTTTCACAGGGTGGAGGAAGAAAAAAGGAGAAGGAACTCTAGTGATCATCACTGTCTTCCTGCAATGATCCTAGAATCACAGAAAGGTTACACCCTAGGAACATGTGTGATGGGAATTAGAGCAGCTCTCACAAACATATGAAATCCAGTCTCTGAACAAGCGAAATCCCGCACTAGAAAAAGTTGGTTTTCCCCATATTTAAGGTGCCTGAGAGAAAGCAAAAGGATACCTTGTCTGGAGGAATATGCTATGAGACAAAGCATCAAATTACCTCTATAATTTTTCATAAGCTATGACTTATTAGGCATGCTAGGAGATAGAATCAAAAGACAGAAACAAAGAGGATAAATAGATAATATAAGCAGATCTAAGGGTGAATCAGAGTTGGAGTTATCTATTATGGCCTTCAAATTAATGAAGAGTAAAATGCTTAAACAAATTGTTGACAAGGTAGATAATCTCACCGTATAATTAGGATTCATAAACAATAATCAAATGGAAATTATAGAATTGAAATATAATAATTTACATTAAGAACTCAATAGACTTCTTTTCAGATTAGACATTTGAAGAAAGGAAAGAAAGGATTAGTGAACCAGAAGAGAGATTGTTAGAAAATATACAGATGGAAGTACAGAAAGAAAGAGGATTTACAACACAGAGAAGAACATCCAAGATACATGAGACACAGTAAAGGGATTTAATACCTGTAATTCAATTTTCAAAATAAGAAGAGAGAAAATATTATAAAAGCAATATTTTAAGAGATAATGGGTGAGAATTTTCCACAACTGATAAAAAGACACCAATTCACACAACCCAGAACGTCAGCAAACACCAAGGAGGATTGGGGTGGGTGGCAGGAAAACCTAGGAGCATTAGAGTAAAATTAATTTTTAAAAATGCATAAAGACAATTTGAAAAAGCAGCCAGACAAATAAAAGACACAGTACCTTCAAAGGAAAAACATTCCATCAGAAACCATGGAAGGCAGAAGATAATGCAATGACATCTCTAAAATGCTGAAAGAAAATTAGTGTGAACCTGGAATTCTTTATCCAGGAAAAATATTCCTCAAAAGTGAAGATGAAATAAAAATATTTCCAAAAAGAGTTCATTAGACAGAAATTAATGATCCCAAAGAGAAACACAGAAATGAAAGAAAGAGTGAAGAGCAAGGCAACAAATAAATATGTGGGTAAATCTACATGAATATAACTTAAGAAATGATCGTAATAAGCTCTGTGGGCTCAAAAAAGATATAGAATTGAAAATTATCACAATTACAGCATAAAAGGTAAGGCTGTAGTTTTAAATTCAGTAGAATAGTTTTTAAATCTTTACATTTTAAAGGAAGTGCTGTATTATTAATAATTAATTGTGATCATGAGCAGAGATAATGGGCTATTGCTCCTTGTCATAACAAAATATATAATAGAAGCAAAAGCACAATGTGTGAAATGGAACTGAAAATAAGACATTATTTTTTAACATAGCTTAATGATGTATCACTATTGCAAAATATGGATGCTCTAGACCAGCACTTTCCAGAAGAAATATAATATGAGCCTATGACCACATTAAAAAAATAAAAATAAACAGATGAAAGTAACCATAACAGTGTATTTTATCCAACCCAATATATCTGAAATATTATCATTTCAACATGTAATAAATAAAAAATATTATAAATGAGATATTTTACACCTTTTATGTGAAACTAAATCTTTGAAATCTGGTGTGAATTTTAGATTTATGGCACACGCCAATTTGAAATAGCCACATTTCAAGTGCTCAACCATCACGTGTTGCTAGTGGCTACCGTGATGGACAGCAGAGGTCTAGACTGAAGAAAGAAGAGACTCTGATAGCATCTATATGAATTTTATCTATCGCTCCAATAAGTAGTCAAATGGTATATCAGATAATAAAATTTTCTTACTTTAATAAATAATTTTCCGTTTAGAATCCAGTTCCCTAGCAATTAATATAATCTCAGTAAATTTCTGAAATATAACGCCACTTGGTGGTATGGATACTGAAAAGAAAGGAATCTTTGTCTGGAATACAGTAACATCAAATAGTATAAAAGAAAATAAAAGTCAAATCACTGTCACAGCCATTATTATACACTCAGTGTTTAACTCAGTGTTCAATATCTACTAACTGTTTACAAAAGAATATCTCTTCTTAACGCAAACTTACTTGATTGTACAATTTGGTTAAAAAAGCCTAGGTTTCAATGAGATATAATCTCACAATAACTGACTAAAGCATGACATTATTTTTTATTTATTTACTTTTTTTGCTGAAGAAGATTCGCCCTGAGCTAACATTTGTGTGAATCTTCCTCCATCTTGCATGTGCATCACCGCCACAGTATGGCTGCCAATGAGTGGTGTAGGCCGCTCTGGGGAACCGACCCAGGGCTGCCGAAGTGCAGCACACCATACTTAACCAGTAGGCCACGGAGCTGGCCCCTATTTTTCAGATTTCTTTATATTAACAAAGATAGGTTAACTAAAAGAAAGCCTGTCTCCTTTACCTCATTAAGGTAACTCTTCTATCTTGGCATTTAAGACAAATGAAAAGCAGACTATAAAAATGAAAATGTAATGGCTATTCGTGACCAGATTAGCACTTATTTCTGGAAGCATGGAGTTTGTGCTCTCCTATAATCTGTTAATTACTCCTTGGGACCATAAACATAACCAATCTCTAGAATACGGACGCAAATGTATTGCTTTGAAGGCAGAAAAAAAATTATCTGACCCAGAGATTCTGTATGACAGTTAATTTATGGATTGTAAAAATGGAGCAACCATATGATTCTGTGACTTACCATTTAGAAGATTCTACTTTGCTTCGTCGGTGTTTTGGTTTGGCTTTTTGTTGTATAGTTGAAGTGTTTTCTGTCTTAAGAAGGACAGAATTTGGTAGAGTGACATTAAATGTTCTCTTCAAAACAGAATGTCTTAAAAACGGACTGAGCTGTGGAAATTCAAACCAAGCAATAGTATATTTTAATTATGTCATTCATAAACTTTGAAAAATTATCTTACATAAATCATTACTAAACTCATTAAAGTTTATAACTTACCACTTACCAACACCCTTCATTAATATCTTAAACACTTAGATCCCTAGGGTTAATATCTATAAAAGTACTTTAAAGTGTAAAAAAGTTGCTAGACATGAGGTTAACTAAAGTATGTTTAATAGTTTTGGCAAAAAAAATACATACTTGAGAGAGACCAAAATCTTTTGTGAAAACTTAAACCATTTTTAAGAAGAAATATATAGCTTTTTGCATATATTAATATCAAATAATCTTTATTCTCAAAAGAAATTTTGTTTCCAATGAAGGTAGATATTGATTTCCCAGTGTGCCTTCTCTCAACATTTATCCTTTCAACAAATATTTATTAAATGCATATCATCTGCCCCAAACTATCTTTAGTACTGTGAATATGCAGTAGCAAGACAAAGTCCATTTACATTTACCATTCACATACCAAAGAAAACATTAAGAAAGACAAAAATTGGAAACAACTCTAAAAACTAAAAGAAAACTCCAGTGTCTGATTTTTTAACAGCTGTGAGAAATGTCTACTAAACTTATTGCAAAAAGATGACTGAAAAACAAAATTAGAGGAATTTTCATGCAAACAGTGTTTACTGAGTGCCTCCTGTGTGATAGCAGTCCTAACCTAGCCCTATCAATTCTTACCTTTTTCTTTCATGCCCTTTCCCCAAGAACACTGTACAATAAGATATATGAAGTTGGGAATTGAGATGAGCATTTCCAACGGCAAATTGTTGACAATACTGCATTCTTTGATTTTTAGTTTTTCATTGTCTGCATGTGATAGAATGAGAGTTCCAGGTGTTGAGTCAGCTTCATGTAGAAAGATAAACATTAGATCTCAGTGCAGATCTGGTCTTGGATGCTTCCAAGGGCTGTGGCCTTTAGAAGATTATCTCCTCTTTCTGAACTTCTGTTTCTTCATTTTTTAAGTGGAGTCAATGCTATCTACCTTATATAGACTTTCTGGGTATTATTAATTGAATTAAAGGATGTAAAGCAGTCTTTGTGCTTGAGAAGCAATACAGCTTAGTGGTTAAAAGCATGGACTTTCCATTGATTGGAATCCAGCCCTTGCTGTCTGCTTTCTGTGTGTCTTTAAGCAACTTACTTCACCTCTCTGTGCTTTGGTTTTCACATTTGGAAAAAGAAGACTATAAAATAATACTTATTTTGTAGTATCATTTTGAGGATTAAATGAGTTAATATGTTTAAAGCATATCAAGCCTGGCATATCAAAACCATTATGTAAGTATCAAATATTATTATCATCTTGTATAGTGTCCCCCAAAAAGTAAATATTATTATCAAGTTACCTAAAAATAAATTTTTATTCTGATAGAGAGGTGTGAAGCAGGGCAGGTGGAATTAACCCTCAGTCTAGGGGTCTGCAAACTGCCGAGAGTTCATTGGGATATATTACTCCAGGAGGGTAAAATTAAAAGGAAGATTAGTTCCATATCAGAAGACAGAGAGCAGAGTCAGGGCAATTCACATGTCCCACTGTCATAAAATATCAATTTTTCATAGATGTCTTCTTTTAAAAGCATAAACAAACAACCATATTACACAATTTCAATGAATATATTTCAGTCTAAAGGAAAATAACATTAATTTGAATAACAGAATAAGGGAAAACTTCTAATATTTATTTACAACATGAACAAATATAAATTTCAGGAAAAATATAACATAATTAAAAGTAAATAAAACTCAATCATTCAAAAATCTAAAAAGATCATTTTAAATAACTATTGAATTAAAGAGAAATATAAATATAAATACAAGTATTTAGAAAATAATACAAAAGAACAACGAACCAACATTTGCAGAATTTCCCCCAAAGCTGCTGTCATAATCCAAAATGTTTCATGATTTTTAAAAAAACCCTAGGAAAATACCATTTATTCCTCCTTCTTTTCATTATTCATTCCACAAGTGTACATCGAGTGCGTACAACATACCTGGTGCTGTACTAGGGTCCAATGATACAACTGTCAACAAAGAATACTAACTCTACTACCAATAATCAGATAATCATAAAATAAATATAAAATCCAACCATGGTAAGACTGTCAAGAAGAGGTATACAGAGATAAACAGGAAGATTCGACCAAGTGAAGGCGGTCAGAGGTGATCCTCATTAAGGAAGTGGTGATGGAACTGAAACCTGAAGGAGGATAGACCTTAGCCACCAGTGGTGGGGAGCAGATGGGGAAGTACTCCAGTCTCAGACCAACATAAGCAAAGACCCTGGAGCATGTTCTAGTAACTGAAAGAAGACCAGCGGGCCTGGAGGGGCAGAGAGGAAGGGAGGCATCGTGAAGGCGATGCTGTGGAGGTAAATAGACCAAGTGAAGGATTCTAGTCTTGATGATAAAAGTAATGAGAGATCATTGGCATTTATTAAAAAATGAGTGAGACATGATTTTCTGATTTGCTTATTGGAAAGATAATTCATCGCCATATTTTGCATTACTGTTTTTATTACACATTGAATATCGTATGTATACTTACCTAGTTACTGAAATAATTGTGTATCACTAATTTTAATAGGAATTATTTATTTTTGTTTATTTTGTTAAATAAGAATTACTCAGCAAGAGCTTTTTCAGGTTAGTTACCTTCTGGAAGCAGAGAAGACTCTATAGTGTGAGACACAGAGGAGAAGACTGGGTCAAAGATGAAAATTTGCAGGTTATCTGTAGATATACACCAAGAGATTACAGCATGAGAGAAGAACCCAGGGACAAGACTTTAGGAACTCCCACGGCCACATATGGGGAAGGACCCTATAAAAGATAAGAAAGTGGAGTAGGTAGAGAGGTAGGAGGAGTATGAGGGTAGCATGTCAGGGAAGGCAACAATGGAAAGTGTACCAGGATTCTAGCACTGTTCAGGAGTCTAATAGTAAGTGGACTGGAAAACGTTCTTCATATGGAGAGAAAAGGAGTACATTAATTAGTTTAGTTGAGGTAAACTCAAGTGAATATAAGCCGGATTGGAGGCAACTGAAAAAGAGAAGTAAGGAAGGACAGCAGGAATCAGAAACTTTTTCAAGAAGTTAGCTTCAAAATAGAAAAGAGAAAGAGAAATAGCTAGAGGTAAATAAAGAGTCTGGAAAAATTGGTTTATATTTTATTTTTTACCTTTTTAACAGAAGAGATTTGAAACTGTTTAAGAGACAATGGCAATCATCCTGTAGTTGAGAATGAGATGAGATAACTGATAGTGAAATGTTCCAGAAAATACAGAAAGGATAAAATCCACAGTATAAGACATTTGAAGGTATTAGTGTTAGATAGAACAAAGGAGTGATCTTCTGTTGTAACAGTTAGAAAGGATAAATCCAGATATATATACATTTATGAATGAAATAAAATGTAATTGAAGGAATCTCCATCCGATGTCTTTTTGTTTGTTTTTTCTGTAACTGGCATCAAGTGTTCCTCCTATTCAAATTCCCATGATAACGACCAAGGAAATAGATGATTAGGGAAAATCTGTATTAATGTTGAAAAACAAGGATAGGACATTTATCTAATGAAATTTTCAAAGAAATGCTGCTAGATATAATAGTGATGAAATGGACTGAAGGGAGATTTCAAGGGCCGATTCAAGCTTCCTATTTCCCATCCTCAACCAACTGCCAAGAAAAAATATTGACTTCAGGAAGCTGAAACTTTGCCAATCTTAATCTGGAAATGAGGAAGTAGTGTAGTATTATTAGGAGTGAAATACTGAAGTCAACAGCACAGTTCTGAGCGGCCCCTCGTTTTAATCCTGACACAGCACATGGAACAAACTTAGAAATGAGCAAAGCCAACTTTGTTTCTCATAATAGAGCCAGACAAAGCTGAGACATTAGCACATCTGGATTTGGGCACAAGAGGAGTAAACGTAGAGTGGAGGTATCGTGCTTTACAGCAGAGGAAAGAAACGAAACTTCCTGTGTTTATTCACTGTATCAGCTCTCTCCACACCTTTCTCCAAAGGCTTCTGGGTCTGAAAGGGTCTGAAATTGAAGGTCCTCTGAGAAATATTTAGGAGGGTGGGAGATAGTAACAGATATTATAAAAAGAATATAAATCTATAATAGTTAAAATAATGTGGCTCAAGCCCAGAAACAGGTGGTAAATTCCGTGGAAAAACATAGGCATCTAGCATATGGTAAAATTGGCATTTCAAGTCAACTGGAAAAGGACATACTCAAAGGTCATCAGTACTAGAATAATCAGATTTTGCATGGGTTCATGCAAATTTAAATGTTTAATTTTTTTTTGATGGAACATTATAATATATAGAAGAAAACACAAGTGTATATCAGGTCTAGGATTTTATTTTTAGGAAATCATCTTGATTCTTGACAAACTGGTTACTGAGATGATATATATCTTATTGTTTTATATAATAAGAATACCAATAAAGTCTTTCAAGTTTTCTAGAAAGAACTTCTGATAATGTTTTATAAGTTATTCTCAATATAGGAAAAAATAGAATGCTGCCATAGTCATTTTATAAAGTTAGTTATATGATTCTAAAACATGGCTACTGTTCACTATCAAAAAATATGTGTACTATCCAACTTTAAGACTTCCTGTAAAGCTACAGTAATCAAGATAATGTGGTATTGATGAAAGAACAAATAAAGAGATAAATGAAACAGAATAAAGAGCCCAGAAAAAAATCTGCACGAATAAAGTCAACTGATCTTTGACAAATCAGCAAAGACAATACAATGGAGCAAGGACTGTCTTTTCAACAAATGGTGCTGGAACAAGAGGACATCCAAATGCACAAAAATTATCTAAACATGACCTTACACCCTTCACAAAAATTAAGTAAAATAAACTTAAATGTAAAATGCAAAACCAAAAAATGTCTAGAAGACAACATAGGAGAAAAT